CAAGGTTAAATGAAACAACATCTGGCATATAGTACTAGTCACTGGGGGGTGGGGGAAAACAACTAGATGCAATTATTAAGAATGTTATCACTGTCCTTGGTGAACACTGCAGATGTTCTGATAATCATCAACATCATCATCATCATCATCATGAAGCTTTTGGAGAAGAAACAGAGAAGCAGCTCAGGTAGAAAGAACCTAAGGTTGAAATTGGACAGATTGATTCCTCTACTACCTCTGCTATCAACTGAATGGCCATGGTCCTCTAAGCCTCAGTTACTTGATTTGTGAGATAGGGGAGGCCAAGCATGTTAACCCTCCTAAGCATATTTTGAGCTCCCTCCTAATGTACCTGAGAAAGCAGCAAGAAAACAGTCCCAGTGCTTCGACCTCTGGCACCCACATGGGAGACTAACTGTCCTTTCCTGTTTCCTAGAATATGTCCTCTCTGCTTCATCCTGATGAAATGTTTTTCCGTCTGTTTAAACGTGTCCTTACCCTATTCCTCCCTCTTGATTCCATCCACATCACTCATTTTTTTTATCTTATAGAAGCAACAGCCAATAAACAAACAAAAAAAGAAACAGTCTAGCTAATGCCTGTATGAAAATTAAGTCTATCAATCTTGCAAAGCATACACAAAGAAAGACTCGGTGTTGACAATAATCCACAAGGTAATTTTCAACACCACCCTACCAAGACTGAGTCAGAACATGCATTCTTGAAAGAAATTTGGCAATATATAATATACATCAAGATTTTGAAAATGTGTATACCATGTTAGTTAATTACACTTCTAGAATTCAAATCTACCAAAAAAAATCAGGAATAACACAAAGATAAAAATACAGATATTCACTGAATGACCCCACACAGCGCACTATATCTGTAAGTATGATTTATACTTCAATTAAACATATAAATAATGGCATAGCTATCTCATGAAATACTGAACAGATATTAAAAATCAGATTTATGTAATATCACAGGGACTATGCCTTATTTAAAAAAAGCCAATTTTTAAGACACAGTATAGGGCCTGGTGTGGTAGTCTAACAGCTAAATCCTTCACCTTGCACGCACGGGGATCCCCTGCTCCCACGTGGGAGACTTGGAAGAGGCTCCTTGCTGCTAGCTCCTGGCTTCTGATAGGTGCAGCTCCAGTTGTTGCAGCTGCTTGGGGAGTAAACATTGGATAGAAGATTTTCCTCTCTGCATATCTGGCTTTCCAATAAAAATAAAAAAATAAACCTTATAAAATTATACACACTATAAACTTCATGCACATGAAACGCCATTTCAGTAAAAAAAAATATAAAAGATATATATGCATATAATCAGAAATAAAAGTATTCAAGAAATGTCAGTCTTGAAGGGGAACATAATTAATAATTTTAGAAGTATTCCTATGTTCTTTTTATGTTGCTGTTTTTAATCCCTTTATTTTATTTGAAAGGCGGAGAAATCTTTCAACCACTGGTTCACTCTTGAAATGCTTACAACATCCACAGCAGGGCCAAGCCAAAACCAGAAAGCAATTCAGGTCTGCCCGCAAAAAAACAAATTCAAGTAGGTCTCCCAATAAGCCGGAAGGTAGACTAGGGAGTGAAACCCAAGGTTTAAGCTGAGGCGTTCTGACAGGAGATGCCAGGCATTACAGAGTGTCTTAACTACCATGCCCAAAATCCACCCTAGGTTCTTTGGCATTTACTCCTTCACACCATCCTTCTTTGCTGTTTATTTCATTTTCCCTCACTAAAATAGCTCTCCAGATCCAAATAAATTTTAAATGTCTTAAAAATGCATGAGGTATCAAATCATATGTTTTAGAAAACTAAATCAATAGGAAATTTAGCATACTAAACATGCTTCATCAATTAACTCTACTAACTACTCTGAAGATTTAATAAAGAGAATTTACAAAGAAGGAGCAAAAATGATCCTGTGCATTAATATCATCCCTTTGCTTGAGATAATCAACTGGAAAAACAAATCAGGATCAACCTCCAACTTCCTTACCAAGTGATAAATGCATGATGTTGATTGCTATAAATAAACATAAGCTTTTCATTATAAATATATTTCTATCATGTGAATGTTATGTGGATCACTAGGTTTGGAACACTCATTACTAAATTGAGAATCAACGTCAACAGAGCAGAACAGAAATACAACTCAATATTTCAAAAGGCATCTGTTCACAAAGAAAACACAGCAGGGATTTTAAAAGCCTTTAAAATGATGAGTACAGGAATCTCTTGGTCACAAGGATTTTCCTCTATAGCACTAAAGTCATTGCAGATGTTCTTCCGAGCAGTTATGACCCACGTGTCCCCCTGCTGTGCCTGGGTTTGAGGCTTGGATCTGCTCAGGATTCCAGCTTCCTGTTACTACAGACCCGGGAGGCAGTGGTGGTCATGCAACAAAAGGGGTTGTCGGCACCTCAGCATGAGGAAGAAACTACATGATCTTCCCTCTTGAATCTTTAACGTGGAACAGTTCTTTTCTGTTTGACTTTCACGACATTTACTTTTTTGAAGAGTTCAGGCTGTGGTTTTACAGAATATCATACATTCTCAATTGGTCTGAGTGTTGATGTTCAAATCAACATTTTTGGTCAGGGTACTAAGTAGCAGAGCTATCTAACTCTTATCGAATAACAGCAGGGTTTTCATCAAGTAAGTTTCCACTAACAGTGACTGTCAGGTGAGTTACTCAACAGAAATAATGCTATATCTGTCCATTGTAAGTGTACATTTTTATTCCATTTATAATTCATAATGTATGAAATGAAATTTTGACATATAAATAAGATGGATTCTTCCAAAATGTATTTGATGCTTCATCGACAAAGGATTACATTTATGTATTTGAAAATCAGAGTTACAGAGTGTGAGGGAGAGAGACACAGAGAGAGATCTTTCATCCACTGGTTCACCACCTAGATTGTGGCAACAGCCCAGCATCACCCAGGCTAAAGCCAAGAGCCTGGAGCTTCTGCCAGGTCTGCCAAGTCAGCGGCAGGAGCCCAAAACACTGAACATCTTCCACTCCTTTTCCTAGGCCATTAGCAGGGAGCTAAATTAGAAGTGGAGCAGTTAGAACATGAGCAGGCAGTGGCTTAACATGATATGCCACAACACCCGCCCCAGAATTATTCTATAATTTTTAAAAGTCTAAACTCCTCTCTTAGATGATGTTAAGTTAGATAATTGTCATTTAAGGTAGAAATTGCCAAATTTCTATTTTCAATTTTAAAATTTAATTTTTTCTTTATAACTAGTAAGCAATCTTTGAAACCAAGTGAATAAATAACCTGTTGCCCAAAAATGTGCCGCTCACTGGTTTATAACAGTTAAATCTTTCTAACTATAAAGTTAGAATATGCCTGCAATAAAGTTTCAAACTTTTTTTTTTTAATTGGAAAGGCGGATATACAGAAAGGAGAGACAGAGAGGAAGGTCTTCCGTCTGATGATTCACTCCCCAAGTGAGCGCATCGGCCGATGCTATGCCGATCTGAAGCCAGGAGCCTCTTCCGGAGCCTGTTCCAGGTCTCCTACGCAGGTGCAGGGTCCCAAAGCTTTGGGCCGTCCTGGACTGCTTTCCCGGGCCACAGGCAGAAAGCTGGAAGGGAAGCTGGGCTGCCGGGATAGAACCGATGCCCATATGGGATCCCAGGCATGCAAGGTGAGGACCTTAACCACTTGCGCCACCGTGCTGGGCCCTAAAGTTTCAAACTTAAAGAACCACCCACTGCAGGGTCTTTCCCCACTGTAGTCCTCCAGCCACACTTCTTTAACACATCTGACATCCTCTCTTGTTAATTGCTTCATGTTCAACCTTTTGGAAGTTTTCAATGTATTCACAAATATAAATACATTTCTTTAACCATAGATGGGAGTATATTACGTGTATAATTTTACAACTTCATTTTTTTTCATGTAAAGACACTCTGGACTTCTTTCCTATCACTGTTTATAGATTAATCTCATTTTTAAAAATGACTACAAAGTACTGTACTTACTACTATTTAATTTATAACTCTTCTAAATGCACAACATTACTGCTCTCATTTATCAACGCTACAACAAACATCTTTGATTTTGTGCCCTTTTTGTGAATACCATTGTAGAACAAATTGCTAGAAACATAACTTCTAGGACCAAATACATCTGTAATTTTTTTACTTTTGATAGACATCACCAAATGTTCTCTTACAACTTTACCAACTTCTGCTGCCAGCAAAAAGAATATTGTTTCCCCATACCTCTCTCCTTGTTCAAACTGGGCAACAGCAAAGTCTTTAATCTTTGCTAATATGAACAAAAAATAGCACCTCATTGATGCTTTGATTTTCACTTTTCTAAACAAGAAAGTCAAGCATGTTTTCAGGAATTGATTTTACATTTGAAATATTTTCTCTTTGAACTGCTTTAGTCTCCAACCTGTTTCCTATGAGGTATTCTGCGTGGACAGTAGAATGCAAATGCTTTCAATCAATGCAATGGGAAAAAAGACATAACAAGCTTCATTATAATTGTCATAAAATATTGCTTTCACTGGGAATCTGCACCAAAAACATCCCCTGTTGCAAAACCTGGGTTTCCTGTTACAAACAAGTATTTTACTACCTTTATTTGACCTTTAGCTTGAGAATATTTTAACAGTTAGAGAATCTTCTATATTAAAATCTTATTATTTTTTAGAAAAATCAAATTTCTATAGGCAAGTAGTGGTAAACAACTGCAAATGAAGAAATCCACATATTGATCTTGCGCTGATACTTTAGAGCCATTAATTTCATCTGTGGTTTCTCTAAATCAAGAGGACATTTCCGAGAAAAGCGAAATGAAAAAAAAATTAAATTCAATCTGTCGAGAGAAAGCACCATACATCTATCTTTCATTGTAACAAGAGCTAGCATCATTCTACTTTAAAAATCAATTCTGTATATCCCTGGAGTATGCAGGCCTGGGCTAGAGTGTGATAAGAACTTGCCTGATCAATGTAGAAAGCTGTGCCTGCGCGGATCTCCCGTCGCTGTTTGAGATCCGTTTCCGTAGTGTCCCGTGACAGTGCGATGTATTCAACCTCCCGCTTGGTCAGCTCCTGAAGAACAGACAGTAAAATTATTCCAAAAATCAAAGCAGACTCCCAGGACACAATTTAGAGCCAGTTATCTGGAAACGCCACTCACTGCCCTGAAAAACAGCATTTTAAACCTAATTATGAGCCGGCATTATGTTGTGGAGATATATCAAGTTAAACCCCCCACCAGCAGCACCAGTATCTCACCGGAATCATGGTTGCAGTTCAGGCTGCTTCAACTGGCTGATCCACTCCTAAGATACCATATGGACACTGGTTCTAGTCCAGGGTAAAGCACAAAACTCTGCTTACTTGTTAAACATAAAATAAAGAAAACTATCAAACTTTTTCTCTTTAATTTCACAGTGGACCTACCAGCAGGCTTGTAACCAAATTTCTCTCTTACAGCCCTCATCTACTCAAGCTATAACTAAACGTAGGCTTTTCCCAGGGGCAACAGTACTTACTGCAGAGTTTGCAAGATGGCTTGGGCTAGTATTTTTATCCTAGGTATTTCCTTAATCCATGGGCACTTAAGCTCTATTTCACAATTTAAATTTGTTCATTTAAATATACCAGCATCATACGTACAGATTTATGTTGTATTTTGAACCACTAAGCCTCCTAAGACTCCTATTATATTTTACTCACTCTCTCTCCACATTTTTAAAGAGCTTCTATGCTTGCCAATTATAAAATCTCAGTGAGATACAGTGATGTTTTAAATAATCTTTTAAATGAACAACATAGAACATACAAGCCAAAAATTAAGGAAGTCCCAGACCCAGGAACCCCTGTAGCTGGCCTTGCATTCTAAAATAAGACACTTGTGTTCTATGAAATAATAATCTCAGAATAATACTGCAAAGGCATATTATGCCTTACAAACTAGTTTTAAGGATAAATAAAAACCATAAAAGGAATGGGCCAGTGGGAGGTAGGCTCTGATCCATGCATTGCATTTTTGTCATTGCTGTCTCAAATGGTTTTTTGAGTGCCAAAGTAAATTCAACACTGAAATAAAAGTGTATGCAAAGGAGATTTCAGTAGCACCAAAATCCGTCTTTTAACACCAAATAATCCAAGGAGGCTACAAATATTTTTCTCTTCATCTTAAAAAAACAATCTTTAGAACACATCACCATCATCTAATGGTGCGTTTCCTCACATCATTAGATCAATGCCTATTAGTGCTATCCAAATAATAGGAACATCATAAATGTTTTATTTGGGTTGAAATTTGAAATTTTCAACTCAACAGTTCTGCAAGCATTTAGAAGGATAATACGTCGAAGGAAGAAACAATACGGAATGTCAAATCCAGTTCTATCATTTACTAGCTGGATAAAGCTTGAGGAAGTTATTTAAACTATGTGAACTATGAGAGATTTGAGCTCAAGGAGAGCATGGAACACACAGAAATGTGCTACAAATCTTAGGGTCCCTGTAGAGACTGTGTATTTAAAAAAAAAAAATCTAGGACTGCGCAGCTTTTCAAAATGTGCACCTGGGATAAGGGAATGCTCATTGAGTATCATAAAACTGAATTATACTTTATAATCTCAAAGTAGATGACTCTGTGAAGATACTCATTTTATAAATTTATATTTCTTTTCTACTGAAAATGAACGATTTCCTAGTGATGGCAAAAATGTCTAAAGGAATGAATAGCAAATGTATGCTTGCTTTCCAAACAACTTTTGCCAACCTTTTGAAGTAAAGCATTCTGTGTTGTTAGCCTCTGCTTCATGTCATGACTAGTTCTGGTATTTTCGCAAAATTCTAATGTAATATATTTTATAACATGGCTTATCAATAGTAAGATACTTAGGAATGGACAAGAATTAATTGCTTACCAAGTACTGCATAGCAATTGAGCGTCGAAGAGGCCCAGGAGGTCCTATTAGGAAGATATCTTGCCCCAAAAGATCCTTCTGCATTATCCATCTTAGATGGTGAACTACAGATTGAGCCAAAGAGTCTGAAACTTTCAGGAGAAAAAAAAATACAAATTAGACTACTAGTTATAACACTAATCTGTAAGAAGTATAGACACTACATTTTTTTAAATGTACATATATATGTAGAGAAAGAGACATAAGGTCACTTAGTGAATCTTTATGCCATTATATGATAAAACCATTATCAATGCTAAAAGGGGACGAAGTTTATGATATCACAGACTCATTTATCTCACACTTAACAGCATAAAAGAACTGATTATCAACAATGATTTGAGGAACCAATATCATTATTTTACTACAATTTTATAGAATAATTCTTTTTGTTCTAAAAGGGAGATATGACTAAATCATCACAAATAAGTCATTATTATCATAGCATTAAAATTTGAAGAAAATAGCATAATTTAGGTTGATAATGAGTATAATATCTCCCAATCTTCTCTTTTTGTTTTTAATTTTTATTTATTTTTATTGAAAAGGTAAATTTCCAGAGAGATAGAGAAACAGAGAGAAAGATCTTCCATCCACTGGTTCATACCCTAAGTGGCCTCAACAGCCAAAGATGAGCCAATCAGAAGCCTGGGAGCCAGTAGCTTCTTTCTTCTGGGTTTACCACATTGGTGCAGGGTACCAAGGCTTTGGGCCATCCTCTCTTCCTTTCCCAGGCCACAGACAGGGAGCTGGATGGGAAGTGGAACCACCAGGACACAAACTGGTGCCCATATGGGATCCTAGCACATGCAGGGTGAGGACTTTAGCCACTAGGATATCGTGCTGGGCCTTTTTTTTTTTTTATTATTATTTTCATGCTTAAAGTTCCATAGGCACAGGGATTCCTCCTTTCACCCCCCTTCCTCCATCTATTTTCCCCAATAATATTACAGTACTAGGCTCCTTCAGCAATAATCACAAAGCCAGCACTTTGTTGTTCTTTAATTTTTTAAGTTGGGGCTGGCATTGTGGCATGGAAGGTGAGGCACTGTCTGCAGCACCAGCATTCCATGTGGGCACCAGTGACTCCTGACTGCTCCACTTTCTATTCAGCTCCCTGACAGTGTGCATCAGAAAGCAACAAAGGATGAGGTGAGGCAGATGGTTGGATTCTGGAACCCATGTGGAAAACCCCAAAGTCTTGGCTTTTGGCTTCAGCCTCGCCCATCCCTGGCTGCCACAGTCATTTGGGGAGTGAATCAGTGGATGGAAGACCTCTTTGTGATTCTTTTCTCTATCTCAGTCTTTCAAATAAAGACAATCTTTTCAATTTAAAAAAAAAAAGATTAAATGAAAAAACATAAACTACTAAATTTTATGTAGATTTAAAGTAATTCTTTCAGAATACTGAAATTGTATCTATTTTTCTGCAAAAACTCATCATTAATCCCTTTAGAGAATCTACAAAACTGTTAGCATTGTTCAAAATAAGATACCACATAATTGATAAAATGTACATGGTAGAATATTATATAGCAAGAAAAACAGAATAAATTACTACTATTTGCAATATACACGCTTAACTGTTAAAGGTAGAACACTGAGTAAAAAAATTGAATCATAGAAAAAAATCACATATTCAGATAATATTTTGCTAAGGCTCAAATTAGTAATTAACTTGCTTTTCAAAGATTTATTTTGTTCATTTGAAAGGCACATCTAAGGGCCCAGAACAATAGCCTCACCTCACATCTGCCAGCACTAAATCCTCACCTTGCATGCACCAGTATCCCATGTGGTCACCAATTTGTATCCAGCCTACTCCACTTCCCACCCAACTTCCTGCTTGTGGCTTGGGAAAGCAGTAAAGCATGGCCCAAGGTCTTGGGACCCTGCACTCACAGGAGACCCAGAAGAAACTCTTGGCTCCTGGCTTCAGATTGGCTCTGCTCTGGTTGTTGTGGCCACTTGGGGAATGAACCAGCAGATGGGAGATCTTTCTTGCTATATCTTCTTCTCCCTGTGGATCTGCCTTTCCAATAAAAATAAAAATAAATTAAATAAATAAATAAATAAATAAAACAAATCTTTTTTAAAAGGCGGGGAGGAGATCTACACCGAGAGGGAAGAAAGGAGAGGAAGGGGAGAGGGAGAAAGAAAGATTCTGTTGGTTGACTCCCCAAATGACTTCAACAGCTAGGGCTGGGCTAGGTTAAATCTCTTCCAGTGACTCACATACTTGGATCATCCTCCCAGGTACATCAGCAGGGAGCTAGATTGGAAGTGGAGCAGCCTGGACTAGAATCAGTGCCCAAATGGGATGCATCACAAGCAGTGGTCCTACCTACTATGCCACAAAGCAAGCCAGTAAACAAATTCTTTAAAAATATACATATATGAAAACACAGTTCTTGAGAAACCAAAAACAAGGGAGAGGTTGGTAAATTTAGGATACTTGGGCTAAGAGTAGACAGGGAAACAGGAATCTTTTCCTGGATATTTTCAATGGTATTAGTTGGTAATTTTTGTGTTCTACTTCTAAAGTTGGATATGAGTCACATAGGTTTATTACATGGCATTTTATATACACATAGTAAGCCATTGTTTTTCAATGCTTTATATTTGTAAAATTTTTGTTTAGTTACCCATCTCATGAGGTCGGGGTAGAGTAATTGAGGAGAAAAATCTCCTTAGGATATCAATAATGAAAAATAGGTTAACATATGCTAAGATGTATATTTTTGAGAAATCAAGCATTTTCGTGATGCTCAGATGTAATTTAGCTGTGCATAGAAAGTTAACCTCATTTACAGCTCTCTGATTTTTTTGTGTGTAATTCAAGTTAAACCCATCTTTTTTGAAGGCACTTCAAAAGTACATGGAAATGGAATTAAAAGAGAACACATGTCCTCCGTGAATTTCCGAAGCCACCCCTGCACAATATACCTTTTGTTATTTTAAGATAAGCCAGTCACCTTGCTGCAAGATGCCTTCACTTCTCCATTAGTAAAATTGCAGTGTTACCTTTTTTTTCCTGCTTTTTAAGTTTTAATTAAGATTCACTGTGATTTGAAAACACACTTCCAAGAATGTAATATTCCCTTCATACTTTCCATCCACCTTCCTTTCATCTTCCTTTCTCTATTTTTACTTTTGAGATAACACTTTTAAATTTACATCGCGGTAAAAAGGCTTAAAAAGCAAAAAGACCTTAAGAGGAACACAGACAATGACTATAAACAGTAATTGAAAAAGAAAGTGGCAGTTTCACACAGATTAAGGGTCACACAAAGATATAAAATAAGTATAGTTGCAGTGATGCTGATACACACAGACATTTCTCTCTCTCCCTCTCTCTCTTTAGTTTAGTTCCCATATATAAGAGAACACAACAGTATTTGTCTTTCTGGGTCTGGCTTATTTCACCCCACATGAGGTCCTCCAGCTGAGTCCATTTTGCTGCAAATACCTACTACCTCATTTTACTGTGAAATCAAATTTCATTAAAAAATCAAAACTTTAGATTTTTTTCTTTGCATTTTCAAATATCAGCTGAATTTGGCTACAGGCTTTCCCTGCATTATTCCCCCAGTTTTGTGTGTCACTCTTTTGTCTTCAATTTTGGCAAGATGCCTGAACTTCCATTACCTGGACTTGAGTATTTTCAAAGTTCTAGAAGGGAAAGCCAAGGTGGTCTCTTTGGCTTCCTCCTTTTATTATTTATAACTATTGGTAACTATTAATAATTACAGAGTCACAATGTAGTTATATATAGTTCCAGTTCATTTTAAATGTCTTAACTTTGGTCTGTATTCATTTTCAAAAATCTAAGGCAGTAAATTACTAATCAAGCATGGTCTCTCCTTCATGAGTTGTTAGGTTAATAAAATACAGAAGTTTAGGAATAATGTGTTTTTTGTTTTTTTTTTTTTGTAGTATACTGAAGAAGGATCAGGGTTATATAAATAATAATAAAGCAACTTGCATACAAATGTACTTTGTTGTGTGATAAATAAAAGCAAGGAGTTACTTAAAGCTATAGACCCTGGAACTGTATGCAATCCTGCACATGCTCATGGGAATATCTTCCACATGAACACGATGGCTCAGGTGTGTTGAGAATCACTAATGGAAGGCACATCTGGAAATTCCCAGTGATGTTCCTTTACTCATACCACTCCACAACAGTTCTGTCATTACTGCCACCACCCTATGCCTACTATGCACTTGGAAATATACAGGAGTATTTTGGTTGTAACAGAACTTCAAAGGATGATTTTAGACACTTACTTAGACTTAGCCATGCTAACCACAATCACTCATGATGCATCCTGTGATGTTTTTCTCAAAGCCTTTTTTGCTTGCACATTATTAATGAGCTATTTCTAATTAGTTGTGATTAACTCCAGAAAAAAAAACTACTCTCTAACTCCCCCACTTTCTGCTAGGAAGGTGAGTCAGTAAATGGCAAGTTCTATCTTTAGGCTGAGCCTATCATAGATACAAGGCTATCCAAGGCTCTCACTAACACATTCCAGTTTTTTATTGTCTATTTATTTATGTATTTATTATTATTTGTTGTCATACTTATAATATTTAATGGTTTTATAGCAGATATTCACTTTCATTAATATTAAAATCTATTAAACATGTTTACCTATAAATCTCGTTAAATTTTTTATATGATCATAATTTTTTTAATGTTTTATGATACAGTTCCATAGGTTCTGTGATTTTCCATCCCCTTTTCCAAGTCCTCTCCCCGCTTTACTGACTGCCCCTCTAGTATTACAATGGGTGGTCGTTCATGAACAGTCATTTCGCTATTGAAGTGTTTGCTGACATTGCAGGCATGGACAAAGCCAGAGAGTCCTGCATCCTACCATCAGGATATTTTTAACTGTTTCATTGGGAGGCCATCTTTTGTCTGAATTCAGAGACATACTACACTATGTCTCCATATCTGAACATTTCAGTCTCTGCTACACTTCTACTATACATTTCCTTAAATAAAAAGCCAGAAAACACAGTCTACAACAGGAAGAAAAACAGAAAATTTTCATCAACTTGAAGCTAAACAACACGCTACAGA